CGTGAATGATGGGGTGCCCACGGCTCCCAGCTGATCGGTCACAGTGACGGTGACCGTGCTGCTGGAGGTAGATGTCACGGAGGTCTGTGTGCCACTCTGTGTTTTGGTGGTGAAGCTGCTTGAAGTCGTTGTTGTAAACGTTCCCGTCGTGGACGGCGCGCTGAGAGCCCAGTCGGAGAAAGCGACGCTGGCGGCTGAAGTGGCGCGGCCGAGTGCATTCTCGCAGTAGACAAGCACAAAAAACCGGCCACCAGCAAGCGTCCCTGCTGGAACCTTGAGCTGCGAGTGGCTGGAGCTGGTGGCGGCCACGAACACCTCATTGCTTCCAGACGCATCATCCGCCAAGTAAACCGCAAAGGCCTTCGACAACAGGACACCCAAAAATGAATGCGAAGGGCATGGTGCAACAGCGATTCCTTCCGATGCCTGTTCATTGTGCCTACCTGACCTGTGCCACCACACCGAGAACAAACGGGAACTTGTTCGGCACTCCCTCTCGACGGAGTCAGGCGAGGTTGCGGGGCACTAAACACACACTCCCTCTCGCTTGCTCTCTCTCTCTCTCTCTCTCTATCTCTCTCTCTATCTCTCTCTCTCTCTCTCTCTCTCTTGTTGCAGGTACGGTTCTGAACTCATTGACGCCCAGGATGCCTCCACGAAGCCGTAGTCCACGTTGTCTTGCCGAGTCCATTCAACTGTTCCTTTGACATACGTTGCGACACTGTCCTCGTCCGAAAAGGAAACCGACTGAACTTCCAATGCTCCCAAGCTCGTGAGCGCAGAATCAACGATGCTCAGAAAACCTGCCTCACTGTACGCCGCAACATAGTCGTTGTCCATCCGGTTGGGAATCACGGCAAGGTACTGAGCATATCCATTGGACCCCAGATCGCGTGTTTCAGCGAAGGACAATTGGTTCGTGCCCAGCGGCACATTCCCCTCTGGAGTCGTTGGGTCGTTCACCTGACTACCAGTCAACAGAACCTCAAAAACGGACGAGGAGTACTCCTTTCTGGTCAGAAGCCACACACCGAAATGGAGATACTGCGACGTGTCGGCAGGTGGTACCCAGGTCACAGTGCCATTGAGCTGGTACGCTGCCGGATCAAGGTCTGTGAAAGACATGCTGCTGACTACAGTGGACGGTTCCGTCGTGGTGCTGGTCGTGGTGCTTGTCATGCTGCTAGATGTTACTCGAAGACTCGATGTGTAAGTTATAGACGACGACGAGGAAATTCTCGAAGAAGCCGTGGATGTAGAGCTCGAAGACGAAGTAAACGAATCAGTAGATGTTTCTGATACTGTCCAAGTGGAAGTGCTTGTGGAAATTGATGTGCTCGTTGGACTACTTGATGTGGAAGTGGCCAAGCTTGTCGTCGACGAGCTTGTGCTTGCCGGGGTCGTACCCGAAAGCATAGTCACCGTGGCAGTTCTTGACGTGGTTGTGCGTGAGGCAGTGAAGGATGTGCTGCTAGTGGAAGAGGCTACGCCAGTTGTGGATGTCGCTGTGGCGGTGGTTCCAGAGAGTGAAGTCGCGGAAATTGCGGTAGAGCTGGCTGTCTCTGACGTCGTTCTGGTGCCTGTTGAAGTTGAGGATGCTGTGGTGGTGGGTTGGGTTGTGGATGTCTCGGTGGTCGAGGAAGTTGCTGTGGTGGCCGTGCTAACTGATGTAGATGTGCTCGGGGTCATGGTCGAGGAGTGGCTAGTGGTGGTGGAAGTGGCTGTCCTTGAGACGCTGCTTGTGATTGTGTCTGTGAATGTCGAGGAGGCCGAAGTAGATGTAGGACTTGTGCTTAGGGTGGAAGTGTCCGTGGTGGACGATGTGCCGGTACTTGCCGATGTAGTGGATGTAGACACTGCACCTGCGCCTGTCGTCGTTGTGGTCCGGCTGCGGGACGAGGTCGTTGTAATGCTGCTCATGGTGGAGGAACTGACGGTGGAAGTTTCTGAAGAGGTACCACTCAAAGTTGACGAAGCAAAGCTGGTCGTTGTGGTCTCGCTACGGGAAGAAGTGGATGTACTACTTCTTGTGGATGTGATACTGGCTGACGAAGAGGTACTGCTCAAAGTCGGCGAAACATGGTTTGTAGTGGTCTGGCTGTGGGACGAGGAAGTTGTACTGCTGCTCATGAGGGTGGAACTGACTGTTGAAGTCGCTGAGGAGGTAGCGCTTAAAGTTGATGAAACAGAGTAGCTTGTTGTGGTCCGGCTGTTGGACGAAGTGATTGTAGTACTGCTTATCGAGGTGGAACTGACCGTTGAAGTTTCGGTAGAGGTACCGCTCGAAGTTGAAGAAACAGACTTTGTAGTTGTGGTCCGGCTGCGGGACGATGTCGTTGTAATGCTGCTCAGAGTGGTGGTGGAACTGACTGTTGAAGTCGCTGAGGAGGTAGCGCTTAAAGTTGATGAAACGGAGTAG